AAATTGAAGAAATGAATTATGAAAAAAATGATTGCAGATTGGTGTCAACATGTTTGTGCAAAAGCATAACATAAAATAAAATAAAATAAAAAATTATTTAGTGTTTTTGGAGTAAAAGTATTCTTAACCAATCACAGGGTGTTTTGGAAACTTTTCATAAAAATCAGTTTTTTTGATTTTTTAATTTTTTATACAAAATAATCATAAAAAAAATTAGTTTTCTTAACATAAAAAAGTTAAAAGTCAAAAAAAATAAAAATAAAAAATTAATTTTTTACCAATTTCTCAACACACCACACAATATGTCTCATTTTATTTTTTAATCATTCAAGAGTGGTGTTATATGTATCAATTAGTATACTAACTAATATCGTAACACTAGTTATAACATTATTATTAATCCAACTCATTATACAAATTATAAATATAAAAAATATCGTAAATTATACCACACATCAATTAATACAATAAGGGTTTGTTTGGAATGATCTAAATAAGTGTACTTTTTGACTTTTTATGAAATATGCATTGAGTTTAAAGTGATGTGGTGGAGAAGTAATATGACTTAAATAAAATAATATGATTTAAATAAAATAATGACTTTTTAATTTTTAACTTTTAGCTTTTTAAAAAGATGTCAAACATAACCAAATTAATACATATAATAATCAACATATATAAAATTATAAATCTTATCTTCTGCTCATCAAAACACTATTAAAGGATGGTTTGAAATATTTTAAATAAGTATATTTTTTAAATTTTTTTAAAATATAAATTATGTATAAATTAAATTTAAAGTAATATAATAAAAAATAATATAATTTAAATAAAATAATATAATTTTAATATAATAACAACTTTTTAACTTTTTTTAATATACGTCAAACAAGACGTAATTTCCGTGTCCCAAACCAACTATTTAACTTCTCAAAAATATATATATGAAATTTCTTAGCCCGAGGCGTCCGTGGTGAAATACGGAGGGGCCGACATCAACTGACACTGATTCGGGGGAGTTGAATGTTTTGACTAGCGCCACTGTTTTAATTATTTGAATGATTTATGTATTTAAAAAAAATTAAATTAATCTAATAATCACAATATATAATTTAGATTATTACTATTAACACTTTATAAATTATTTTAGATATTTTAATTTTTAGTTTTTTTATAACAATATTCAAAAATTTATAAATATGGACATGGGAAGTTCTTCTTCTGACTCACTCTTGGACTACGAATGAACTGCTCTCAATCATTTGATTCAGAAAGTTGCAAATATGGACATGGGAAGTTCTTCTTCACAACCCTTTGCATGGGATGTGGCTTTTTCTTCCTTTGGGGATTCTGACTGGGCAAGCTGGTCGAAACCTGAGGCCTATGATTTGAAGGAGCGAATTAACCATCATTTCGTCGAGTTCACTGATCCTTTAGAGTTTCCTTCCTATGCGCGAAGCTCGGTGGTTTATCCTTACGTGCCCATCGACCGACGACACAGTTTGGAAGAGAATCTGCTTGTAGCATGGTACACATCCTCCATACCTACAAAGATAGTGCACGTTGCCCGACGCCCAGAAGAGGCACAAGGGTACGATCCATCGTTCTTAGCTCGGAAGGCAGAGCTTTGCTCTTCTGATTGGCTCGATTATATTAATGTCCTTGTTCCTTCTGCCCTTGCTCCTTCTCCCGACATGGAAGCTCCCATATCTCTTTCTCCACCAAATCCTTGCTGGACAAAGAGATTGAGGCTTGCCCTCTCTGCGGATAAAGTCTTTTCTCCTTACAAGCTTCCACATTCCCCTACTCCAGCTGAGCGGAAGCAAGCCCCATTTCTGCTTGCGGCTTTCTCTCATTTGTCTTTCAATGTTCTTGAGGACAACGTTCCTCTCAAGAACCTTCGATGGGCTTGTGATATTCTGACTCGGGGTCACGTCCTCAACCCCCTCGCCCAAGCAGAACTTCGTATGTTCTTGGACCAACTTCCGCTGCTTCTTCACTGGCATCGAACTTCTGTGGCCACCACTCAATCTTTGGACTAACTTTCCGCCCTTCGAATTCATGCCCAGTACGAAGCAGAGAACTTCATTGAAGAATTCGATAACTTCAAAAATAAAGACTCTGCGTATTGGGATGACTTGGATATAGACGAGTTAGAACATGAATTGAGAGAAACAACATTCGAAATAAAAGCTGAAGAGCTCTTTTATGAAGTGGGAGCATATCAACTTATGCAGCCAATCCTAGAAGAAATAGAGGATAGAATAAAGAAAGAACAAAAATTCATTGATCATAGTTGGACCAAATTTTATGATCTTGTTATTTATTCTATTCCTTACTTTTATGAACTTGAATTTGTACCCAAAAAGAGCCATTCGATGTAATTGCTTTTGCTTTAATACACCTAAGACTTTTCAATTTGTTTGGCATTGTTTGGTCTTGTCTCCGTTTGTCTTTAAAAGCAAATTTAGGGCTTCGAACTGCATAATCTTATCCTTCGAATCTGGATTTAATTGTTTTAAATGAAACACTAACAAAAATGAACGTGAACTTTTCCAATTTATGGAATGCAGTTGATAGTTTTTGCTGATTTTTCATTCATAATCCGTGCTTCGAATCTAACAATCTTACCTCTTAAAATTTGTTTCAATTATAACCAATATATGGTCATGATTTAATATGATCAGTCAGTTTTAAGTTGACCATTTTGCTTTGAACAACGGTCCATACTTTCAAAAATATGGAAGCTCCTTTTGAGGGCTGCACTGTTTTAGTCTGAAAAGACAATCTTTTCTGAATATATATAAACCAACTATTGGTCTTGATGTTTCGAACACCAATTCCCATCCTTAAGAGATCTCAAGTTTTGCTTTGAAGGACATTACTTTCATTGAGAAACTTAAAACAGGTCTTTAATCCTTTTGAAATAAACAAATACTTGAGCATTCTTACATCCATAGGTATGAAATGTACTTCGAAGCCGGCTTCTCAGTTTCGAAGCCGTTTATTATTTGACTTTTGGCGCCAAAATCTGGTTTCAGAGCCAAATACTATACTTCGAAGCTGGCCTCAACATCGGGGTGTGTTTTTTCCTCCAAAAGTATCAATATTGAAGGAAGCTCTTCGTATTTGTACTTTTAATACTTAACGAATTACGCGATACATTTTTCAGCCACAAAGGTTTTGTTAAAACCCTTTTCTTTCGTGTTTTGAAATCACTTGCTCGTCTAACACACAAACCCTTTATCTCTACTAACTCTCTTTTCCCTTTCCCAACTTCATCCTCTAAGAAAGCTTTCAATCAATGGCTTCTTCTTCATTGAAAGTACCAGTTGTAGAGCACGCGAGCCCGTCTGTAACCCTAAAAAGGATAATTGAGACAGAATGTGAAAAGTACAAGGCTGGTGTGAAAAGCGCCATCGATGGACTCATCTTCATCCCTCGACGTCATGAGCAACAAGACTATGTGCTTGGGCCCATCTTCAAGGAGATTCTTATTGAGCTTCCAGCGTTATATCCACGTCTAGAAGACAGTGAGACCACTGTCTTCTTTACGAAGGTGGTCTTGACTGGGGTACCTGGAGGATGAACCGTCTCTATCGATGCTGGCCCACGGTGAGACCGGAGTGGCAAGAATGGTACGATCGGGTTGTCCCTGCTAGGACTTTGGACCTTTAAGAGCTCTGCCTCCTCGATGCCCTTCGACTATCCAGGTTTACCATCTCAGAGGACTCTTAATATTTGCTGCCCTTTGCTTTTGGAATTCTATTTTCAATTTTTTTCAATTCAGATGTGGGGTGATGGCCCCTACTGTTCTTGATATTTGCCATCTACTAGGATTGTCTCCCATTGATACCCCCGTTGGACCAGATTATACTGACTCACCAGTCCCCTTTTCCCTCCCCTTCCTTAACTCATCCTACAATGACTTTGTCAAGGCCGAGAATAGAAGGGAGGGCCCTATAACTGATAGGGAATTCTTTTCTTTCATATTATATTGGCTTTGCAAATTTTTTTTTTGCACTTCTTCTCAAAGAATTATGTCTGAATTTGTCTCTCTTGCCAAAGTTCTTGTCCTACAGAAAAAGGTGGCCTTAGCCCCATATGTTTTAGGTCATGTATGTGACGCCCCAAAATTTGGGGACATCATAATAAGGTTTAAAACTTAAAATCAATTTTCGTAATTAAGAATCCTCATCAATGTTGCCTCCAAATTTATCATCATAAATTAATTAACAACACCAAAACTAAAAGTTCTTAAATTACAACTCCAGTCAAACTTAAAAACTTTGTCTTAGTGCACAAATAAAAAAAAATTAGAGAAAAACTAGAAAACTCAGAAAAATGGTTTATAGAACTTTGGCACGCTTTAAGCTAATCAGGGCTAAATGTTGCCTTCCAACACCTCGGTGTTTCCTTCGGTTTCTTCGGTACCTGGCATGAAACGCCAGGGCAACGAGGATGCCAATGAGCGACGAGCTCAATAAGATACTACAACCTGAAATATCCACCCCGATAATAATACCCACAATGAATAATGCGTAGTAACAGAATAACATGTAGCATTTAATAAGCATAATAGGAATGCCATCAGTTGAAATAATAACAATAGATAATAAATAAATAAAAATGACAAACAGAGGCAGTATTTCATCATAAGGAAAATGCCCACTTTTCTTTTTAAATTTTCATAGATTTAGTTTATCAGATAAGTTTAAGTAACTACCCGCGGAGCACTATTTCCATTCAACCGCTAAGCAATGGGCACGGGCAATTCTGACTCCTCCTTGGTCAAATATTCAAGTGTTACCTAGAGTAACTACCAATGATGCCCACGCACCAGGGTTACATACCTGAGTCGTGACATCACGGTCTGCCCCAAGGGAACGGTCTATGTTGTGACACCCGTACCACCAACCTTATATCGCCTACACCGATAAGAGCCGGAATACCTTCCCGTGCCATGTTAGGGTTTGCAACTCACTTGCGCAAGATTCTAG